AATGGCGGATTTTCTTCATAAAACACAGCAACAATTCAACGCGTATGCCCGTTACGATGCGACGCGTTTTCCCCGTAGAGCGCCGTTACGATGCGACGCGTTTTCCCCGTAGAGCGCCGTTACAATGCGACGCGTTTTCCCGTTACGATGCGACGCGTTTACCCCGTAGAGCGCCGTTACGATGCGACGCATTTTCCCCATAGAGCGCCGTTACGATGCGACGCGTTTTCCTGTTACGATGCGACGCGTTTACCCCGTAGCGCGCCGTTACAATGCGACCTTTTGTGGGACTCAGGGCAGCAGCTGCTGCAGCGCTGCGTCGTCCAGCTCGTTGACGGCCACGATGTGGTCCAGGTGCTGCAGGTAACGCTCCTGGTCACGCATGAAGTGAGGGATTCTGGTCCGGTTCAGCGCCGCCAGAGGACGCAGACGCTCCACGTCCTCGAAAGACACCTGCGGAGGAGACAGGTTGGAAACATGAAAACTTTGTAGCAAAATGGCTCCCAGTTAATCAGCATGTTTCTGTCAGACTCTAGTTGCAGATTTCTGGAAATATCTGTTAAAGTCTGAAATTTGTCTCCGTTTCATCTGAAGCATCGGAGACATTTTGTTGGCTTCAGGACAGACTGATGCCTGCAGACAGAATTCGGGGCATAAAACTCGTTTCCTGTCGTTTTCTGCCCAGTTTCCTTCCCTCCTTCCTTCTGTCATATATTTCTTTCCATCTTTTGGAGAGTTTGTCTCAGTTTATCTCAGGCGTCAGATAATCCTGTCGCTCACCTTTCCTAGAGACGTCAGCATTTTAAAGTCGATGTTCCTTCGATGGCGAAGGATCCGCAGGATCCCGTCCAGGTAGACCTGATCTTTGCTGAAGCAACCTGAAAAAAAACAAAAAAAAACAAACGATGATCCAGGATTTTCTACAAAAGGATTAAATAAAAATTTATTTCTAAAGTCAATTCTCCCTGGGTTTTGTCTCTCAGGTTCATCAGACTCTTGACCGACTTTCTGCAGAAACGATGCTAATGTTTCCTCTCGCTCTGCGTTTAGCTCTGAAACCCGAACAAACGGCTCCACATTAGAGATGAAAACTGGTAAAAATTACGGGTTTTTTCCGTTTTTTGCCCCATTGGGCCTGAATGAACCTGGTTTAGGTTTTAGGTTAGCGGTTAGCTTACTGTACGAACTTCCTAGTTGGCTGAGGTGAAGGAGAGCAGTAGGTCCTCATGAGGACAGAGACCTGGAGGCGTGTGTGTGTCTCACCGGGCTGTGGTGTGTGTTTGTGTGTGTGTGTGTGTCTCACCGGGCTGCGCGGTGTCGGTCTGGCCCCTCTTGGCCCGCAGGCAGTACTCCCAGCGGACGTCGGGGTCGTGGACGAAGCGGGCGATGTGGGCGAAGAGGCGGCTGAAGCTCATGCTGGCGGCGTGGAACACGGTGTAGTAGAGCAGCGCCGCGCGCCACAGGTGCGGCTGCTTCCTCAGCAGAACGCTGTGCAGGCTGGCCAGGCCCTCCTCCGTCGGGTTGGCCGGCTTCAGGCCGAGCTGCCGCCGCGCCTCGGCGGACGCCCAGGGCTGCAGCGCGTTGTTGGCGCCGCGCAGGTAGTGGGTTCCTGAGGAAGAGGAGGAGGAAGAGGACGGGTCAGAAAATGGAAAATAAAGATTCTTCATGTCAATGTGAAGCTGAACAGAGTCTGCCTTTCCTTCCTCCCTCTGACCTCAGCAGTTTAAAAGTTGCTTCATTGTGACATCATCAGTCCCTTGGGTCCAGTTTAGTCCAGTTTAACCCAGTTTGAGTCGGTTTTCTCTCTCACCAATAAGAAACGTTGATTCAGAAACAGGCTGCTGAGTGAGAGGTTTTTATATCCTAGTGAGGACCAAGTGCTGCTGTTGGGATGTGTGTGACGCGTTTTCCCCGTAGAGCGCCGTTACGATGCGA